AAGTGTGGTGGTGGTGCCTATAATCTCAGCACTTTGGGAGGCTGAGGCAGGAGAACCCAGGAGGTGGAGGCTGCAGTGAGCTCAGATCGTGCCAGTGCACTCCAGCCTGGGTGATAGAGTGAGACTCCATCTCAAATAAAACAAAATTAAAGTCTCCCAGAGTATACCACCCCAGCAAAACGGCAGGAGGGAATGTCCGTGAGACCTCCACTTTGGGGGTTTGAGTGGGCAGCTTTAAACCAGAATAGTCACTCTTGCTGTGGGTTCCCAGGGCAGAGACTGAGCCCTCACCCCACCTCACCACACGCATGTCCTCTCAGCTTCCACCTGCTGGCCTGGGAGGGAGGAAGAGCCGTTTCTCCTTTTCCTGCAGCGTCCCTTTGCTCAGTTGGTCACCAACATCCTGAAAAACATTCTTAGGAGATCAAAAAGAACATCATTTTGGTCAATGCGATAGGTTGGCCCAGTGTGCCACCAGTGCAGGGCCCTCTCGAAACCACCTTTGCAAAATTATGACTGAGACAGTGAGAGATCTAACTTAACTGACTCCATCTTGTCTCTGACCTCCAAGCTGTCCTTGTTCATTCCTGGGTGGAGGCTGAGCTAACTTTGGGAGAAACTTAGTTTACATTTTTATTTTATTTTTCTGAGACAGAGTCTCACTCTGTCACCCAGGCTGCAGTGCGGTGGCACCATCTCAGCTCACTCCAACCTCCGCCTCCTAGGTTCAAGCGATTCTTCTGCCTCAGCCTCCTTATAGCTGAGATTACAAGTACGCACCACTGTGTCCAGCTAATTTTTTTATTTTTAGTAGAGATGGGGTTTCACCATGTTGGCCAGGCTGGTCTCGAACTCCTGACCTTGTGATCTGCCTGCCTCGGCCTCCCAAAGTGCTGGGATTACAGGCGTGAGCCACTTCCTGGGCTTAGTTTATACTTTAAACAGAAGATAACAGCCCTTTCCCAAAGCAGACCTCCTTCTTGCCTGGGGACTAAATTGCCTCTGTAGGACTAACATTAGCTTCAAGATTAGAAATTTCGGTTTAGGAGTCAGGCAGCTGGAAGCTACAAGATTCTGACCCTCCCTAAAATGCTCCTAACATCAGTGCTTGAGATATTTTTCAGACCCTGCACTTGATGGGTCAGCTGGCACCACCCAGATCAATAATCTGGCTCTTCTGTTCTTGTGGCCTCCGCCCAGGAACTGACTCAGCACAGGAAGACAACTTCTGCTCCCTGTGATTTCATCTCTGACCAATCAGCTCTCCTGGCTCAGTGACTTCTTCCCACCCACCAAGTTACCCTTAAAAACTCTGCTCCCAGAATGCTTGGAGAAACTGATTTGAGGAATAAAACTGCAGTCTCCCGTACAACCGGCTTTGCATGAATTATTCTTTCTCTATTGCAATTCCCCTATCTGATGAACTGGCTTTGTCTAGGGAGCAGGTAAAGTGAACTCCTTGGGTGGTTACCCAGGATGACATTATGTCTCTCCAGGATGGCTGCAGTGGCTTCTGAGCCTGCTTGCATCTGGTGTGGTCCCTTTCAATGTCATGCAGGCCAAAGCAGCCCTCCATCTCTCCATGATCTTGGCTTTGCAGGTATTCTGTGTCTCTCTCTGGATCCCCACCCTGGCTTCCTTTCAGGCACTTGAATGCATCCTGCTGGCTCTACCACTTGGCCTTCAAATTGCAGTTTCCTCCTGGAAGGCACCTCTGCCTTACCTCACATCCTTCTCTCAGACTTGCCTTGAGATACCAGCTGCAGGGGCATCCATGGGAAAGCCCACCCCTTGGACTGAGTGACTGAGTCTGGAGTTCTGATCTCTCTCTGTCTCTTTTTTGTTTTTGAGATGGCGTCTCGCTCTGTTGCCCAGGCTGGAGTGCAATGGCACCATCATGGCTCACTGCAGCCTTGACCTGGGCTCCAGCAATCCTCCCACCTCAGCCTTGTGAGTAGCTGGGACCACAGGCATGTGCCACTATGCCTAGCAAATTGCTGTATTTTTTTGTAGAGACAGGATCTGGCTATGTTGCCCAGGCTGGTATAAAACTCCTAGACTCAAGCAATCCTCCTGCCTCAACCTCCCAAAGTGCTGGGATTACAGATGTAAATCACCACATCCAGCCCTGATCTCATTCTTCAGAGAATTTACCTAGCTGGTCACTTGGTGTCTGTAGGAACATCACATGTTTCAGGCCTGTCTCAAAACTACATTTCAGCTGGGGGCAGAGCCGGGGCAGGCAGAGTATAGTTTGGGGACATCAAGGGTCTGTGGTGGATATCCTTGCAAAGCGAGACAGCTTTTCGATGATATTTATTGAGCACTTACTGTTTCCCAGTACGGTGCCAAGCACTTTGCACATTGCAGCCAGTGCATCCTCACAGCAATCCTGGGGGAGGGGGAGATGCTTTTCTCATTCTCATGTGCTGAGAAGGCTAAGAGCTGGATCTTGCACAGTTCCTTAAGGGCTAAAGAATTCCAAGGATGGGCTAGGCACGGTGGCTCACGCCTGTAATCTCAGCACTCTGGGAGGCTGAGGCGGGCGGATCAAGAGGTCAAGAGATCTTGGCCAACATGGTGAAACCCTGTCTCTACTAAAAACACAAAAATTAGTGTCACGCGCCTGTAGTGCCAGCGACTCGGGAGGCTGAGGCAGAAGAATCTCTTGAACCCAGGATGCGGAGGCAGCAGTGAGTCAAGATCGCGTCACTGCACTCCAGCCTGGCAACAGAGTGAGGCTCCATCTTAAAAAAAAAAAAAGTCTTCCAAGGATGGTACAGGAAAGCAAAACCAGAAAGGAGCCTTTTCCAAATGTCCATGCGCCCTTCACCTGGTCCTCGTCAGGCCACAGTAGCACGGACGGCGCCACACTCCACCTCCTCTTCTGAATCTACTTTGTGTGTGTGCACATATAATTAATTCTGGGGCAGCTTCCTACATCAGTACAGAGAAACTCCTTGATCATTATCCACTGCAACATCCTTCCTGGGAGGGACTAACTGGAAACCCAAATGCTTTTGTAAGGGCAAATACAAAAAATAAAATTAAATAATTCTCCCTGGTGCAGAAAAAGAAAGAGACATCCTGTTCTTAAATAATCTAGAGCAAACACTTTGGAAAACTTGATTATTTCTCTTTTCCTTTAAGATGTGAGTCTTTTTAAAAGTCAAATGAGTCTCCTGCTAGTTTTACAAGCCGGGAATGTTTCCCCAGGGACCTGGGAGGCATCTGTTTGGAAGGTAAACATCAAGATAGCACCCTTGTCACCCAGTCTCCCAGGAGGTTAGGAGCCTGACTTCAGTACCTGGTTTCAAGTTGCAAAACAATCCATTATCCATCATAAAGATATGAGTTTCTATTTCCTCTGGATAAAGACAATTAGCTAACACAGATGGCCACTCCAATTACCAGGTGAATTCAGGATAAAACATGCTGCAAATTGTGCTGAGCAGTCATCTGACTTGAGAACTTTTTTGTTTTTTAAATGGAGTCTTGCTCTGTTGCCCAGGCTGGAGTACGGTGGTGTGATCTCAGCTCACTGCAACCTCTGCTTCCCGGGTTCAAGCAGTCCTCCCACCTCAGCCTCCTGAGCTGGGACTGCAGGTGCGCCCCACCACACCCAGCTAACTTTTGTATTTTTAGTAAAGATGGGGGTTTCGCCATGTTGGCCCAAGCTGGTCTCGAACTCCTGACCTCAAGTGATCTGCCCGCCTTGATCTCTCAAAGTGTTGGGATTACAGCTGTGAGCCACCATGTCCGGCCCAAGTTATTATTTGAGGACATATATGCAATAGGTTATACCTGCTTGGCTATGTAAAAGGGTGAAATTTATTTCTCTTTGTAATCTCTTTTGTGGATTGCCTGTCATGACCACTGCAGTCTGGTTTAATGCTTATTTAAGAATAAAACTGTTTTCTCTTCTACTTTTGTGGAAAGGTTTTCTGGATTAGATCTTATTTTTAGTTTTGTCTCTAAGACCTTCAGATGTCTTTCTACGGAGGCCTGGTTAAATAAACTTGGCACCTCCACACCATAGAATACTACGCAGCCATGACAAAGAACAAGGAACTTGTTTCCATTGTTGAATAAAAAAGGCAAGGTGCACAACAGTATACCACTTTTTCTGTAAAAAAAAGAGTCTGAGAAGATTCTGTATTTGCTTGGGACTCATAAAAGTGCCTGTGTGTGTGTGTGTGTGCGCGCGCGCGCACGTGCGTGTGTGTGTGTGCATGCAAATAGAAACTGGGCAGATGAGGGAGAGGAAAAGGATGAAAATTTTTCTCTGTACACCTTACATTTTGTGATTTTTGGAAACACGGGACTGTATTATCTATTCAAAATAAATTAAAAGGGAAGGGGAGTGTAGGGGTGGCAAGCAGACAAAATCTCTAAAAAGAAGTCCCAGGGACCGGGGACGGTGGCTCACTCTTACAGTCTTAGCAGTTTGGGAAGCCAAGGTGTGCAGATTACCTGAGCTCAGGAGTTTGAGACCCGCCGGGGCAACATGGTGAGACGCCGTCTCTACTAAAACTACAAAAAATAAGCCAGGTGTGGTAGTGTGTACCTGTAGTGTGCACTCAGGAGACTGAGGCAGGAGAATCACTTGAACCTGGGAGATGGAGGTTGCTGTGAGCCGGGATTGCGCCACTGCACTCCAGCCTGGGCGACAGAGCAGGACTCTGCTTCAAAAAACAAAACAAAACAAAACAAAAACCCAGACCCAGACATTCTCTAAGCACTTGACTCTGTTCATTCCTGAGCGCAGCCTTGAGCTTGGAACCAACTGAAAACTAATTGCACATGTTGGGGGTTCACATTCAATTTCTTCTTTTTAAAATTATTACTTTTGAGACATGGGTTTTTGCCATGTTGGCCAGACTGATCTCAAACTCCTGGCCTCAAGTGATCTGCCTGCCTTGGCCTCCCAAAGTGTTGGGATTACAGGTGTGAGCCACTGTACCAAGCCTGCACTTCTCCTTTGAAGGCTGATATGAGTGTAAAAGCAGAGAATGTCTTTATTTAAAAAAATGAAAAACGAAAAGTAAAACAAAATAACAATCACCCCGCCCCCTCCATTTGAGAGACTACTTCCAGGGGTTCTGCATGTCTGGTCCCCAGCCTGGTGGGGGAGTGTGCTTTCAGAGGCTCATGGGTGGGCCTTCCCTGGCCCCACCAGCAAATCATCTCCCCCTGCCTCCGGGAGGGCACATACTCTCCAACAAGTAGGGCTTCATGGGCCAGGGAGGATGCCAGAAAAGGGTGCTGGGAATCTGAGAGCCCAGATGCTCAAGATTCTACCGTTAGCCACCTGTCTTGCAGAAGCCCCTCTGTGAGACTTCGGGGAAAAGGAGAGAGGGCAGGGGCCTTTCTCAACCTTTCTGGCCATTTCTAGGTTGTGTTGACTGTCACTCTTGTCACCACCATGGACTGTCACATCAGCAGATGGCTCAGGAGGGCTTGCTTTATGCCGGCTGCTGCTTCCTTTTGCCTCCGTGCCATGCCTGTGAGGTGGATGGTAATCCCCATTGCATGGATGAGGAAACAGGCACAGAGAAGCCAAGTGATTTCTCCAAGGCACACAGCCTGAAGGGACAGCTCACGCTCCCAACCGTCCCTTCTAACACCCTTGGGCCCGCCTCTGGCTACACGCTGCAAATCGGTCCGTTCTAGACAGTCAAAGCAAAGGCGATCTGAACTGGCAGTCACAGGGACTGTGACACAGAGTTGGGGGTAGAGCTGTCTGTGTCTTGCATTTCCAGGTCCCACGGGTGGCCTGTGACCTTCCCCACAGTCCCTAGCGGGCACTTGCGTTCATGGTTCAAGTAGTCAGACTCTGCCTCTCTGCTCCTGCCACTTGCTCTGTGGCCTGGCCTCTCTGGACCCCAGGTCCCGGCTGTGGGCGATGGGGGCGGGGTTGGTGGCCCGCCTAGGCCGGGCAGTGCAGGCTGCAGAAGTCGGCGGACGAGAAGAGCCGCAGCACGTTCACCAGCGGAAACATCAGCAGCGCTCCGAGCAGCGAGCCCAGCTGCACCGCCGCCCCGCACCACAAGAGGGCGCTGCGGCTGCGGTCACGCAGGATCACGCCCAGCATCACCTTGACGTAGCTCAGGCAGCCGCTGAACAGCACCCACGAGGCCACCTGCAGGGACGGGCGGTAAGAGAGGCAGAGTGATGGGGTTTGCGGGGCGAGCGCCAGGACGAAGACCTCTCCCAGGGCTCAGGGAAACCCATGGGATGGTCCCCAGGTGCAAGGAGAGCCTTCTGGGAGTGATGCTGCGGAGCTGACAGGTCCCCTGAGTGGACCGCCCAGGGGCAAAGGAGAGCCCAGTGGTCTTCTGGGTTCATGTGCCCATGATCAAGTCAAGGGCATTTGAGAGAAGGCCACTGCTGAGGTACGCATGGTGGGAAGCGGCCTGCCAGCCACCTCGATTCCCCAAGCCTCCACTTCCACATGCGGAAGGAGCACCCCTCTCACCTGGGGCTTCCCTGGAGAGCCCCACAGACCCTGCTCGCTGGAAAGCGCTGCGCCCAGGCTCTACCAGGCCTTGGCTAGGAGGTGAGGGGCACGGATCGGGAGCAGCACCCCCTCCCCCCACCGCCCTCGGCTGGATACTCACAATGAGGACTTCCCCACCCCAGTGGCCCTGCAGGAGCGGGCAGGGGCTCATCACCGCCATGGCCATGTTGTAGCCCCCAAAGCAGGTCCCGAGCACGGAGAGGACCCCCAGGAACAGCAGAGACCTAGAGAGAGTGGGGGAGGTGAGTGGAGGAGGTGAGAAGCCTGACGTCTGTCCCCCTGCCCCTGGGGGCCGTGTGGATGGCCAGTGTCTCCAGGGTTGGTTTAGACTCATGTGGCAAATTCCAGGCTGCCTGACTCAAGTGGGCCAGGGAGGCTCCTGAAGGGGCAGGATTGGCCTGAGTTGTCCCCAGCGTTAACCGCAGGGCCTGGAACCCAAGCAAGAAAAGCGCGATGGACTCTGACACTGGATGGTCCTGGTTCAAATCCCAGTTCTTTTCTTTTTTTTTTCAAATTTGAGATGGAGTTTCACTCTTGTTGCCCAGGCAGAGTGTGATGGCACAATCTCTACTCACTGCAACCTCTGCCTCCCAGGTTCAAGTGATTCTCCTGCCTCAGTCTCCCGAGTAGCTGGGATTACAGGCATGTGCCACCACGACTGGCTAATTTTTTGTTTTTAGTAAAGACAGGGTTTCTCCATGTTGGTCAGGCCAGCCTCAAACTTCCGATCTCAGGTGATCTCAAAGTGCTGGGATTACAGGCATTAGTTACCACACCTGGCCTCAAACCTCAATTCTACTGTTTAAGCCAGGCATCCCCAAACTTTTTACACAGGGGTCCAGTTCACTGTCCCTCAGACCGTTGGAGGGCCGCCACATACTGTGCTCCTCTCACTGACCACCAATGAAAGAGGTGCCCCTTCCTGAAGTGCAGCGGGGGGCTGGATAAATGGCCTCAGGGGGCCGCATGCAGCCTGAGGGCAGTAGTTTGGGGATGCCTGGTTTAAGCTGACACTGGCCTCTGAGGCTCCAAATGGGAGTTCTGCAAGGCTATGTGATCTCCGGGAGCACAGCATGCAGTGCCTGGCTCAGCTGTGGACCCACCTGGTGTTTACCTGCTGCCATTTCCTCCTGCGACACCCCCAGCCTTGGCCAGGAAGCCCGGCTGAAGTGAAGACAGCCGGATTGGGCATTGGCACAGCAGGGTGTGCTGTGCTACCCCACGGGATCCCTCCCTGTCTGGCCTCAGCTACCCACCTCTGCACATGGGGTTTGCTATCTCCAGGGGCCCTGAAAGCTGGCTTGTTGCTGCTAGGAGCATCTCTCTGCAGGTGGCCTTCCATGCGAACCTACATCTGACAACTGAGGACACTCCTTCCTCGGAGGTCCTTGTCCCTGGGGTCCCACTCTCCAGTCTCCAGAACCCCAAGACTGGTCCATGCCCTGGGTAAGAACAGATAGGGGTCTGCCTATGCCCCTAAAGACTCTTTCTGCTCCAATGTTCTTGGATTCCATGACTCAGATTCTGTAATTCTAATATTTAGGGTTTCTTGGATTTGCAGGTCTGGGCCTTTGGTCCTGCTTCCCTCAGATCCTCTACCCTCCTTCGGGTTTCTAGGCCCTAAGGTAGAAAATCCAGCTTCCTGGCAAGCTTTCTGTCTAGCTCTTCTGCCGTCAGTGTCCTCCTCCCTGGGCTGGGAGAGTGGGTCTGAGCAGGCCAGCGAGGGAAGGCAGGCCGGTGTGGATGCGAGGCTGGAGGACCTAAATGCGAAGATCCTGAGGTGGAATTTCTCTTCTAGGTTCTGAAGCCCCTGCCTCAGAACCATCTGGGTTCCTTATTAAAAACTGCAATCCCAGGTCCCAAGCTAGGCTGGTTCAATCTGTGTTTTATCAACTTGCCCAGCCGTTCTTCCACAACTGTGGCTGTAAGGGAACCAGCCGGAGTTAGAGGCAGGAGGGCAGAGCTGAAATCCTGGGAGCTGGACCAGGTCAAGCTCTTTCTCCCAGCCTCGTGATTTCCCCCTGTAAATGGGAACCGCAGTGGCTGCCTGCTGTCCTCATGGACTGATGGCAATGACGGTTGACACTCAGGTCGGACCTGCCATGTGCCAGACGTCGCTCCAAGAGCTTTGTAGAATCAGCTCATAACATGCTCCCCGCAGTCCTAGCAGGTAGAACTGTTACTACTCCCATTTTCCAGATAAATGTCCCTGAGGCACAGAGAAGTGAAGTGACCTGTCTTTTCACACACAGCTGACAAGTGGCAGAACTGGGATTTGGACCTGGGTGCTCGCAAAACCATGTTCTTAACCACTGCACGTACAGCCCAGCAGGCGGGTTTGGAATTCCGGGTTCTGAAATGAAGTGCTCCCCCGCTAGGATTCCCTAGGGCCAGACGGGGGCACACCTGTTAGGCAGGAACATGGAGAGCAGGGAGGCGAGAGGGTTGGCCACAATGCTGAGGGTGGCGGCCAGGTGGTAGGCAACCGGCCCGTAGGACAGGCAGGAGTAGGTCTGCACAGAGGGCAGCACGCCATTGGTGAGCGCGTTGACGAAGGCCACCAGGGTATAGATGAAGGCCAGGTGGGCTGGGCAGCAGGGGGCTGCTTTCTCCTCTCGATGGCCCTGGCCCTGGCTGCTGTCCACTGTGCCTGTGGGGCCCAAGTCATTCTCTTCCCGTGGCCGGATGGAGTGGAGGGTGACCTGGTCGTTGAGGAGATCCTCCACGGAAGCCTCCCAGCACCTGGGTTGACGCTGGAGGACAAAGAATGCCACGAGGCAGCAGGCCATCATGAAGGACAGCAGGAGGAAGAAGACCAGGGGCGAGAAGTGGGCGGGGAGGTAGCGGGTCTCCAGGTAGGACAGCGGTGCTGCCGTGCTGGGGAGAGTGGACGGCAAAGCTCTGGGAATTCCCTGCAAAGGACGAGACAGGTCAGTCAGATCCCTGCTAGTGGGTGGGGGTCAGAATGCAGAACAACAATCATGACAGTGATAATACAGAATACAGGTTATGTGTTATTATTAATGGACAATTGATAAACAAACGACTAACAAGGTGGCAATAATGACTGCTCACACTGACTGCCACTGAGCACGGGCACTGCACACGGGTAAGTCCCTTTGCCTCCTAGGCCTGTGCTGTGGGACCATCATCCCCCATTTTAGAGGGAACTGAGGCATCAGAATGCTTCGTCCCTTCCCTGAGGGTCACAGGAAGAATGTGGCAAAGCCAGGCTTCACCTGGTGCTTTCTGACTGGGAAGCTACAGCTTTTATCACTCAGCTACCCTATAGCAGTGGCAACCACAAACATATTCAGAGGAGGGGCTAGCTGGAGACTGAGCTAGCTGGAGACCTAAGGGGAGAGCCCCCTACCTAAGGGGAGAAACCCCCACCTAAGGGGAGAGACCCCCACCTAAGGGGAGAGCCTCCCACCTAAAGGGAGAACCCCCCACCTAAGGGGAGAGTCCCCCATCTAAGGAGAGAACCCCCCACCTAAGGGGAGAGCCTCCCACCTAAAGGGAGAACCCCCCACCTAAGGGGAGAGTCCCCCATCTAAGGAGAGAACCCCCCACCTAAGGAGAGAACCCCCCAGCTAAGGAGAGAAACCCCCACCTAAGGAGAGAACCCCCCACCTAAGGAGAGAGCCCCCCACCTAAGGGGAGAGCCCCCCACCTAAGGAGAGAAATCCCCACTTAAGGAGAGAAACCCCCCACCTAAGCAGAGAACCCCCCACCTAAAGGGAGAGCCTCCCACCTAAAGGGACAACCCCCCACGTAAGGAGAGAGCCCCCCACCTAAGGGGAGAGACTCACCTAAGCAGAGAACCCCCCATGTAAGGGGAGAGCCCCCATGTGTATGTATGTAAGTAATTCAAATGGGTTTCCTGCTGTGGATCTGTCTTGTCAGTTTAGCTCACAGATCGACCAAAGAACCTAGAAGGAGAGAGGGGAGCAGATTTTCCTTGCCCTACGCTGTGAGCAAACCAGATGCCGCGACGGCCCCAGGTACCTGTGTGATGCCAGTCTCCCCCGTGGGTGCAGGGCTGGGTATGCTGTCTGCCATCTCAGTCACATTGACGCAGGTAGTGAGACCCGAGCCCTGGGCAAGAGCCACCAGGGCAGGCAAGAGGCCACTGAGTCCTTCACCCACAAAGAATGTGGTGAGATAGTAGGTGGGCAGTCGGCTCATGAAGGGCAGGAAGGTGACCGAGGAGGTGCAGTCCACCAGGGCCAGGAAGAAGGTGAGGACCAAGAAGGCGATGCTGTGGTGGCCGTCCAGCACCCAGGAGGGCATATTCCAGAGGAAGGCAAACATGATGCAGGTGACGGTTCCCACGCCCAGCAGGGTGAAGATGATGGGCACTTCGGAAAGGCAGCTGGGCCGGAAGCGATGGAGCAGGGTGACCAGGAGGGGTCCGATGTTGGCCAGCTGGATGACCACCGTGAGGTAGGAGGGCAGGTACCAGCCCTCGGGCAGCTCCATCACCAGCAGGGGCAGCTCTACCCAGAGCCCGTTGATGGTCACCCAGGAGCCCATTCCGAAGATGCAGACCAGCAGGTGCATGAGGAGGGCCATGGCGGTATCTGCCCTGGGCCAGAGGCCTCCCCAGATCAGCCTGCAGCGGGGCTGGCAGAGAAGGACACCAGGTGAGTAATTTCAACTTCGCCACCTAGCAAGACGCTGTGATCTGGGGCCCAGGGTTTTCTCATATTACTCCCTTCCCTGTGAACAAGCTGGCTTTTTTTTTTTTTTCTTTCTTCGAGACAGACTTTCACTCTTTTTACCCAGGCTGGAGTGCAATGGCGTGATCTCGGCTCACTGCAATCTCTGCCTCCTGGGCTCAAGTGATTCTCCTGCCTCAGCCTCCCAAGTAGCTGGGATTACAGGCATGTACCACCACGTGAGCTAATTTTGTATTTTTAGCAGAGACGTGGTTTCACCATGTTGGCCAGGCTGGTGAACTCCTGACCTCACATGGTCAGCCTGCATCGGCCTCCCAAAGTGCTGGGATTACAGACATGAGTCACTGCGCCTGGCCCAAGCTGGCTTTTTCTTAGCAGAAAACACGGGAAAGCTTTCCTAACCATGACTCATGAAAATAGAAAATTCAATACAACACACAAAAGCAAACAAAGCAGCTTCTGCAAAACATACCAACAGCAAGGTCAAAGCTTAAATGAAAACGTGGGGAAAATATTTGTAACATAAATCACAAAGGGCTCCTCTTCCTAACATGTAAAGAGTTTTTAAAAATCAAAAACAAAGAGACCCCACAAAGCAGATGGCCAAGGATATGGACAAGTCAGAGAAAAAGGTACAAATAAGCTTTAAACATATGAAAAGAGTATCACCTTCATTCACAATAGGAAAGCCACTCCAGGGTGCCATTTCCCACCATGAGATTGTCCCAAAGCCTGACAAAATGACTCGTGTACAAGGTTATTATAGAGTGTGACCTTGTTGATAATAGCAAGTTATGGGAAATTTCTCCTCTCTGGCTATCAACAGAGAAGGAGCTAATTCAAGGGACCTATTGGAATACCACACACTTGTTTAAAGGAATAAGAAATAAGGAAAGCAGATCTCACTGGCTGATAAGGAAAGGTCTCCAGGCTATACTGATAATCTTGAAACAAAATCAAGGCAGGTAAACGGAACCAGGAAAATGCATACTGCCTGTTGGGCATAGAAGAGGCGGAAAAACATGTTTTCTTTGCTTGTACTGGCACAAAGCAACCTTGAAGGACACACACACAGGGACTGCAGAGATGTTGGTGATGCCTCTGCCTATCTTTTAATAGAGCTTTGATTTGTGAACCACGTAAACATATTACCTGATGCAAATATATGGTTACCTGAAATACAATTTCAATCTGGCTTTTGTTTCCTCCTGAAATTACAGAACTCTCTAGGTGGCCTTTGGGGGCCACTTCCTCTAGCCCTCCGGAACCACTCTGCCGTCTGTTTACCCCCTTGGCAGCTACCAGTGGCCGTCCACCTGTGCTGTTACTAACTCTCTTCTATCTTTAGTCTGAGCAGGAATGTGGGAGTGCCAGCTGTTTGAGTGTGACCCTGGCTCTGCTGCTTATAATCTGGGTGACCCTGGGCAGGTAACCTGGCCTCTCTGGGCATCGTCTCCTCATCTGTAAGTAGGGGACAGTGATAGTATGAACTCTGTGGTTTGTGATGAGATGTAAGTATGCTGGTGGGTATATGTTATTTCCCACGTACAGCAAGCACCGCTAAGGGTTACCGACCATTACCATGAAATGTCAGGTTTGGTGGCATAGTTATTTTTGTTTCGTTCACATGAGAATTAATCCATGACTATGAAACTTTAAAAAGGGAAAAGATTCCTCCACCAGGTATCAACTGAACTCACCAGTGGTATATGCACCTCTTTGTAGAGTCAGGTCAACTGGGCCAATGTCCACGTTTTGTAGATGGGAGACGGACGGGGTCCGAAGGGGCAGAGGGGCTTTCCTGGTGTCTGGACTGGGTTCCCTGCAGCATGCGGCCTGTCCAGGGTTTTTCAGTTCAAGCTGCAGTCTTTAACTCCATAATTCTTCCTTCTAGTACAAAGCAGGAGTGTCAGTTTGTGGCCACGCTTCACCCAGGAACCTCCAGAATCCCTGACAGCTCCTCAGCACGGTTCCCACACACCGAATTGCCCACAGGGCTGGGACTTCCTTCCTCCTACCTCCACTGAGCGAACCCAATGCTCATTTGCCTTTCTGGCTACCGCCTTTTCCTCTCTGGGAAGAGCCACTCCTGGGGTGTAACGTAGTCAGATCCTCTAGCAGGCCTGCTCTGCCCCTCCCTTCTGGGGGCCTCAGACTCTGTTCCCTCCCTTAGCAAGCTGACTTGACTAACGGCACAGGCAAGGCTTGCTCTGGGGGTGCCAAGAGGACCCAAGGAGGGCGGGGAAGCTCCCAGGCAGCAGGGGCACACCTTTGCCTCTGCTGTCCCTGCAGCCTGGAGTGCCACCCCTCTTCTGTCCACATCCAAGCTTTCTATAAGATCCCATCCTCCAGGAGACCTCTGGCTGCCTCAGGTGTCCTCATCGGGGCCCCATGAACCCTTCATTTAAGGTTGTTCTTGTGTGGGTGCATGCAGGCACATACCTTGAGACTGAAGCTTTTTGAGGGTGGGGGCTGCTTGGGAATCTGGCATTTTGAAGGTGGAAGGGCCTTTCTCAATGACTTAGCTCAGGATTTGCAAATTAACCCACTGGCCAAAGCCAGAGAGCAGATGTATTACTTTGGTTTGCCCAGAGTGTTCAACAGTATGTTACGTAATCCTCAATAGAGGGGATGGCAAACAACCATCAGGATTTCTGGCTTCTCAAGAATATTTTGGACGAAGTGGCCACTGCTTTGCCCTCTTTCTCCATCCTAGACTCGGGCCATCTTGGCGCTCTCCCCTGCAGTAGCATCTGGAGCCAGATGCCTGGGTTCAAATCCCAGCTTCAACTCTTACAAACTGAGCAAGTGACTTAACCTCCTGTGATCCAGTTTTCTCTTGCAAAACAGATAGGCTGTCAGTATCAACATCAGAATTGTTGCTAGGAACATGCAAAGTGCTAGAACTGTGCCTGCCACACAGTAAGGGCTCAATGAACCTTTATTGTAAGATTACTATTTCAGCAAACATATCAATTGCATTCAAAAACATGTAATTACCTGCCCAGTGCAGTGGCTCACACCTCTAATCCCAGCACTTTGGGAGGCCGAGGTGGGCCGATCACTTGAGGTCAGGAGTTTGAGACCAGCCTGGCCAACATGGAGTAACCCTGTCTCTACTGAAAATACAAAAATTAGCCAGGTATGGTGGTGCACGCCTGTAGTCCCAGCTACTCGGGAGGCTGAGGCAGGAGAATCACTAGAACCTGGGAGGTGGAGGTTGCAGTGAGCCAAGATCGTGCCACTGCATGCCAACCTGGACAACAGAGCGAGACTCCATCTCAAAAGAGAAAAAAGTAAAAAAAGGGACCCAGTTTTTGTTAGGTGAATGGCCACCCAACTAAAGGACTACATTTCCCAGCCTTCCTTGTAGCTGCACATGGCTACGTCATCAAGCACAGGCCAATAAGTTCATATGCGAGTTCGAGCAGTCTCCTTAGCCCATTTCCTGTTTAGAAAAGAGTTCAGCTGGCTGCAAATGCTCATTTAATTTTATGTAAACATGCTCTTTGAGGCTGAAGCAAATCTGACTTTTTTTTTTTTTTTTTAATTGAGACAGAGTTTTGCTGTGTAGCCCAGGCTGGACTATAGCGGTTTGCTCTCAGACTACAGTGGCAAGATCTCAGCAGAGCTCTTGATCTCTACCTCCCAAGTTCAAGTAATTCTTATGCTTCAGTCTCCTGAGTAGCTGGCATTACAGGCGTGCACAACCATGCTCGGCTAACTTTTCGTATTTCTTAGTAGAGACAGGGTTTCTCCATGTTGCTTAGGCTGGTCTTGAACTCCTGGACTCAAGTGATTCTCCTGCCTCAGCTTCCCAAAGGCTGGGATTACAGGCATGAGCCACCACACCCAACCCTATATCTGACTGATTTTCAATGTGAAAATAAAACATAAAAACTGTTCTTGGAGTTATTTCTAACCAGAACTAACATAAGAATCATCTATATCAGAAAAACTGGATTCATCAAATTCACCAAATGGCCAATAACTGTTTGAAAACAATGTCACGTGCAGAAATGCTGTGCTTTCTAGGATTTGATATTTTTAGCGATCAAGCATTACTATGTTTTGTAAATGGAAATACCACTATTAAAACCAGAATGCTATAAATAGAGTGAAGTCTTTCCTTTCTAAAGTCAATATACTAGAGCAAGGCAAAAATAATAATAAAAGTGACTTATTTCGTGGCAAAGTTATCTTGGGGTAAATGCTGTAGTTGCAAGCAGGTTTTCCTTGTGGCAAATGGGAAAAGAGTTAACAATATGGGAGTGTGTCCTTCTGCTCTTCCTCCATTTGGTGGTCTGGAATTCAGATGTGATGGCCAGAACTTCAGCAACAACTTTGTACTATGAAGCATGTGGTGGGGGTTAGATACATACTAGGCTCCCTTGGAATTTTCAGGCAGAGAGCACCCATAGGAGCCCTGTTTTACCTGTGTTGAACTGTTTCGTTTGTTTAATGTTGTTGTTAAAATTGTAAACAAACTTCTATGTTGTTTAAGTCACTCTTATTTTATATACAACAAAAACACTCTGAGGCTGGGCACAGTGGCTTATGCCTATAGTCCCAGCACTTTGGGAGGCTGAGGCTGGTGGATCACTTGAGGTCAGGAGTTCAAGACCAGCCTCGCAATGGTCAACATGGTGAAACTCTCTCTCTAGCCAGGCGTTGGATCACCTGAGGTCAGGAGTTCGAGACCAGCCTGACCAACATGATGAAACCCCATCTCTACTGAAAATGCAAAAATTAGCAGGGTGTGGTGGTGCACGCCTGTAATCTCAGCTACTCAGGAGGCCAAGGCAGGAGAATCACTTGAACCCGGGAGGCGGAGGTTGCAGTGAGCCAAGATCAATGCACTCCAGCCTGGGAAACAGAGGGAGGTCCCATCTCAAAAAAAAAAAAAAAAAAAAATTAGTCAGGCGTGGTGACGGGCTCCTATAATCCCAGTTACTCAGGAGGCTGAGGCAGGAGAAATGCTTGAACTCGGGAGATGGAGGTTGCAGTGAGCTAAGAGCATGCCAATGCACTCCAGCCTGGTGACAGAGCGAGACACTGTCTCAAAAACCAAAACCAAAACCAAAACCAAACAAACAAAAACCCTCCTCTGCATGAAGTGCACAGAGATGTACATTCCAGGATGCATATTGACAGATTATAGCTAGCGAAAACTAATGAATATGTTTACCTCCTTTACTACCTATTCTCTGACTCTGAACCTCAGGTCCTGTCCCAACCAGGATTTGATCAAAAATAAAAACTTAACAAAAGTAGTTGTTTAGACACTTGGGGGCAAATATCTTGCAGAGAAATGGAAAAAAAAGGGGGGGGCGGGGAGAAAGAGGGAAAGAGCAGAGGAGCAAAGAGCCCTCCATATGGAATTTGGCACCAAAAGTATAAATGTATAAATTGAGAACAAAAGTTATTTCACACATCGAGACTCTAATTCATAAAGGAGTCAACACTGTAGTGACTCTGTATTCTGAATATTTCCCAAGATAGCCTCAGACATTCCAGGAGAAATGAACAGAAACACAGTCCCAAGGTTCAGGCCTGACTCATCCTTCCTGGTCAAGACAGCAGATGAAGGTGCAAAACAAACCAGGATGTAGCAAAGGCGACACACGATATGCCTAATAAAGAGGGCTAAGTCAATAGTTCAAGGGAGTGGGCGAATTTGCAGACGATGGTTACCTTTGCCATATGAAAAGCTATTAAACTAATGAGAGTTCCTTGAGGTGTCCAGTTAAACATTTACAAACATCGGTAGCTTTCCCATGGAGGGCTGGATGGGGCGATGAGGGCAGACGGGGCAGAAGGAGCCTGACTTTCTTGTATGTTCAACAAATCCTAGGCACTGAAAGTCTAAATCCCCACTCACCACAAAGAATTCTCTGGTTCTGACCCAGGTGCTGCCATAGCTGTGTCACTTGAGGGATATGATTTGGCTCTGGGGGTCTGTTTCCTTGTCTGGAAACCAGGCATGGTGGGGTTGTGTCCCCACTTGACCCGCCTGCCCTATGGCCCCGGCTCACTCCCAAATTCTCTCCTTCCTCAAAACGGAGGTGTGCTTTTGGACCTGGAGGACTCAGTGAAGAACAGTCATCAATGACAATGAAGAGGACTTCTTAGGCAAAGGGGACTACATGTGCAAAAAGGCCCCAGAGAAAAGGAGAGATTCAGAACAGGTGGTGTTCGGAATGTGTCGGGATAATTTAAAAAGATGCATATCGCTGGGCGCGGTGGCTCCCAAAGTAATCTCCACACTTTGGGAGGCTGAGGTGGACGGATCATGAGGTCAGGAGGTGGTGACCAACCTGACCAACATGGTGAAACCCCATCTCTTCTAAAAATACAAAAAAGTAGCTGGGCGTGGTGGCGGGTGCCTGTAGTCCCAGCTACTCAGGAGGCTGAGGCAGGAGAATCGCTTGAACCTGGCAGGTGGGGGCTGTGGTGAGCGGAGATGACGTACAGTGACCTTGCAGTGCTTGTTCATTCATTTAACCAATATTTCTTGGGCACCTACTGTGTGCTCAACCACAATCCCTGCTCTCAGGAAGGTGCGGGAAGCAGTCGCGAAGCAGAATAAAAAGCAGAAATATAGAGCAAGTCAGGCGGCAGCCAGGACGCCTGAGGAAAGCAAGGCTCCTGAGCGGGGACTGTGCCGTTGTCGAGGGGAGGGCGTGAAGGGCGTGTGGGAGTCAGCTGTCCGGGGAAAGAGCATCCAGGGGACGAAGCAGCAAGTGAAAAGGCCCTGGGGCGTGGCCACACCTGCTCTGTCCCAGAAGTGGATTTTGCTGTTGAAAGGACAGGTATGTGCCGGGTGTGGCAGCTCACGTCTATAATCCCTACACTTTGGGAGGCTGAGGCGGGCAGATCATGAGGTCAAGGGATTGAGACCAACCTGGCCAACATGGTGAAACCCTGTCTCTACTAAAAATACAAAAATTAGCCAGACATGGTGGTGGGCGCCTGTAGTCCCAGCTACTTGGGAGGCTGAGCCAGGAGAATTGCTTGAATCCGGGAGGCGGAGATTGCAGTGAGCGGAGATCGCATCATTGCACTCCAGCCTGGTGACAGAGCGAGACTCCCTCTCAAAAAAAAAAAAAAAAAAAAAAAAAAAAAAAAAAAAAAAAAGACAGGAGGTCAGTATGGCTGTGGACAGTGGGAGTGGGTGGGGGGAGACAGGGCAGGTTTCCTAGGGTTCAGACCCTTGTGGGTAGGAGCTTGGGTGTTTTCTCTGGAGTCAAAGGCTCTGTGAATAGGCAGAGGAGACCACCTGGAACCTAGTTTTTAATAGGATCGTGCTGGCTGTTGTGAGGTGGAACACGAGGTGCCGGGAGGAAGCAGGAGGAAAGCCCTTCTACATTTAGGGTCCTGTAGCAAAAGGGCCAACAGTCACCACAACAGCAGCGACAACCACAGCCGCCATGCATCCGCTGCTTACTGTGCCAGACCCTGTGCGAAGCTCTTTGCACACATTACCTATCAAATCCGCCACAATCCTGAGGCTGGCATTCCAATTAGCTCCATTTTACAGATGAGGAAACTGAGGTTTAGAAAGGGAAATAAATTTGTCTGAGGTCATACAGCTGGGAGCTGAGCTTTATGTCCCGGCATGCTTGACCGTGAACCCAGCCCTCTTAAGCAGCCTGAGAAAGGCCTCGGGGTGGAAGGGTTCTGAAGGGGCCATTGGGGCCAAGCTGAGCAGGATTCCACTCACTGGTGGCCTCCCGAGATGTGGGCCTGAGAAAGAGATAAATGGAGTACAGGCTCAGGAGTAGCTGAGAGAGGCTTCAAGACATAACTGCTTCCCAAGGATCCAGGTCCCCTTCTGTGATCACCAGAGACCAGAAACCTAAGGCTTCACATGAGACAGTTCAGATGCCCCATGTGGGTGCGCAACAGATAGAGAAGCTAGAAGGATCAGTTTCAGGCAAAGATTTCTTTTCTTGAGACAGAGTTTCACTCTTGTTGCCCAGACTGAAGTGCAATGGTGCGATCTTGGCTCACTGAAATGTCCGCCTCCAGGATTCAAGTGATGCTTCTGCCTCAGCCTCCTGAGTAGCTGGAATCACAGGCATGAGCCACCACGCCTGGCTAATTTCGTATTTTTAGTAGAGATGAGGTTTCTTTATGTTGTTCAGGCTGGTCTTGAACTCCCAACCTCAGGTGATCCGCCCGCCTTGGCCTCCCAAAGTGCTGGGATTACAAGCATGAGCCACTGCACCCAACCAGTTCCAGGCAAAGGTTTCTCTTTTGCATTCTTGCATCAAAAGCTGTGAGCCCCAGCACAAGAGAGTGAAGGGAGTTGGGAGTGGGTTTCTGTCCAGGGCCAGTGCACCCTCATGTATGGGCTGGGCCATCTCCTCCAGGGAGCACAGGCAGATTCCACCCTGCACGCCATCCCCTGACCCCCTCCACATTCTCCTGCCCTCTGCTTTCCTTCATCAAAGTATTACTGACACCAGCTCAGTTACGGGAGTTTATCTGTGTCTATCTGTTGAGCACTAGTCTCTCCCATGGGAGTGTAATCTCCACGTGAGTGGGGCCTTGTCCTCTCCCCCAGTGCCCAGGTGACCATCTGGCTTGCTACAGTCTGGGCCACCTGAACCCCTGGCACCATGGCTGGTTTCTCGCTCTGCAGGGACAAGCTGCCAGCTGGTAGGCACCCAGTCCTATGGGCCAGGCTGGAGGAAACCTGCCTCAGCTCTGAGGGTTGTGTTGGCCAGGGTGACCCTCAGGGCAGTGCCAGGTGGCAGCATGGCACTGGGCACATCTCAGTCCTGGGCAAGGGTCTGAGCCAGTGCTTTTCTGGGTTCCGGGCTCCTGGAGAACTTAGTGACTGCTGCAGGCATCTACCTAGGGCCTGGCCCTGGCCTCACCCTCATGAGTGTGGGTAGGAATGGATTGGCTTTGAGTCCATGGAGAACGGAGGCCGGGAGGTCAAAACCACAAAACAGGGAGAGACGGGGAGTTGAAGGGGACTGAGAGAGAAGAGACTGCGACAGAGAGACAGAAAGAACCAAAAGCTAGAAGCAGAAATGGGGAGAAAGGACGACAGAAGCAGAGAAACAAGGAATAATGGGAAGCTGCGGTGCAGAGGGAGGCAAGGAGGTGCCGGGAGGCAGGAGGCTGGGGTGCTGGGAGCATGGGCCAAGCTCAGCCACCCTCACTGCTCACAGCCGCATGTAGCAGGAGACCATCTCTACCTCTCCTTGCTGGGACCTCAGAGCTCCCCTAGAACTCATCCCAACTCAATGTCCCTGTTGGATCGGTGGGGAAGACAATGCCAGGAAGGAGATAGTGCTTCCCGGAGCCCTGCCCCACCCCAGATCTCAGGCTGTGGCAGGCATCCAGACCTCTGCTCACTGGCTGTGCAACCTCAGGTCAGCTGCTCACCCTCTCTGGGCCTTGGTTTCTTTATCTGTGGAAGGGTCTGCGAATGCCTGGCCTTTCTGGGCTCAGCCAACCAGGAAAATGGGAACGAGATAGCAGGTGCTCAGACTGGCCCGCAGAAGTGGAATGTGAGTGCTCTTCCCCGCTTCTCCTCCCTCCCAGGGCCAGGAAGGGCTTCAGGCCTCCCACGGGGCTGACCTTGGTGGAGCAGCCTCCCCCAGGCCAGTTCCCTTCTCCTCCACATCCATCCCAACTCCCACCCTCTTTCCCAGGCTCCTGCGCCTTCAGCCTGGTCAAGCTGTTCTGAGATGGAGATGGAGCTGGGCGGAGTCAATGGGGACCCACTCTTTGTTCTTTATTATTACCATTTTTGAGACAGGATCTTGTTCTGCCACCCAAGCTGAAGGGCCGTGGCGTAATCTGAGCTCGCTGCAACCTCAACTTCCCTGGCTCAAGTCATCCTCTCACCTCAGCCTTCTGAGTAGCTGGGACTACTAATCCACACCACCACGTCTGGCCTGGGGAATTTTTGTATTTTTTCTTCGGATGGGGTTTCGCCATGTTGCCCAGGCTGGTCTTGAACTCCTGAACTCAGGTGATTCACCTGCCTCAGCCTCCCAAAGTGCTGGGATTACAGGCGTGAGCCACAGCACCCAGCCTTTTGGTCTGAAGGCACCAGGGCTCGAATTTACGCTCAGCCTGTCCCGACTCCAACCTGTCAGCTCGGGAGGAAACCCTTCTTTCCTCCTGTCTCTCTGGTCTCTCCCGACACGGCAGCCTGAAACTAGGAGAAAGGCCACGTGACACCTGCTGGCTCCAGACAGGTGCGCCTGCCACAACCCGGTCACTGCCCTGCGCTCCCAGCCAGCAGCTGGCCTTGGTCGCTGCAGCTGCGCTCTCGCACGCCTGAGCCACCCCGCTCTGCTCACTTACCTGCTGGTCCAGTTCCCGGGGACGCTCTGCATGGGAGGGGCCAGAGGCAGCTCAGTTTGTATAAGCCTGTCCCCGCCCAGAGGTTGGGGAAAGGCAGGCGGAGGGTGGGTGAGGCTCCCTGCAAGACAAAGAGCCTACTGTGTATCTGTAATCTACCCTGCAGCCCAGCTAGGAAGAGAATCTTGAGGGTAGAACAGTGCAATAAAGGGCTTGCTTTATTGCCATCCAGATTTCATGAGGGTTGACCCCCAGTTGACAAAAGATATGTGCAAACAGTTGGTTCCATTCCTTACACTTCGATCATCTGACCCTTCTTTGAGTCTCATATTTTGTGGGATTTCCATTCACAGATACGTAATTAAATATTGCGGGACCCTCTACACTTATGATGCCAAGGAGAAGTTAAGCCCCGCAGAGTTAGTTATGTGGATCGCAGCATCGTCATTTTCTTCTTCTTCTTCTTTTTTTTTTTTTTTTTGAGATGGAGTCTGGATCTGTCCCCCAGGCTGGAGTGGAGTGGCCAGGCTGGTCTGGAACACCTGACTTCAGGTGAACTGCCCACCTTGCTCTCCCAAAGTGCTGGGATTACAGGTGTGAGCGACTGCACCTGGCCACGATTTCATACTTATCTCTGCTAAATACTATAAGATGCCAAAATCTGGCACAGAGAGTACAAAACATAAATTTAGAGGGTCCTGCGGTTCTATTTTATTTTTTCACAGACCCAAAGTATTTGGTACAGTAGGGACGGGAAACATGGCTTCCCTCCACCTTTCGTGGTCCAAACAGAATAATCTTTGCTTGTATAACTTTTTAATAATGAAACATCAATATTGGTTTAATAAAGATAGCTACACCATGAACTATTTTGTGAAATACTCTAATCTCTAATCTTGTGGCCGTAGGCAGTCTGGTTCACAGGTATCAAGGAAGTTTTTTTTTCTTTGAGACAGGGTCTCACTCTGTTGCCCAGGCTGGAGTGCAGTGGCCCGATCTCGGCTCACTGCAACCTCTGCCTCCTGGGTTCAAGCAAGTCTCCTGCCTCAGCTTCCCAAGAAGATGGGACTACAGGCACACACCACTGTGCCCGGCTAGTTTTGGTATTGCTGGTAGAAATGGGGTTTCACTATGTTGGTCAGCCTGGTCTCAAACTCCTGACTTTGTGATCTGCCCACCTCGGCCTCCCAAAATGTTGGGATTACAGGTGTGAGCCACCCCGCCTGGCCTGGAAGTTTGTTTTTATCAAGGAAAGGTTTATCATCTTTGCTATTTAAGAAAAGAGAATTTATATAAAAAAGAATCTTATTGGTGAGGTACAGTGGCTCACACCTGTAATAACAGCACTTTGGGAGGCCAAGGAGGGCAGATCACGAGGTCAGGAGACCAACCTGGCCAATATGGTGAAACCCTGTCGCTACTAAAAATACAAAAATTAGCCAGGCATGGTGGTGCGCATCTGTAATCCCAGCTACTCTGAAAGCTGAGGCAGAAGAATCACTTGAACCTGGGAGGCAGAGGTTGCAGTGAGCTGAGATTGTGCCACTGCACTCCAGCCTGGGCTACAGAGTGAGACTCCGTCTCAAAAAAACAAAAACCAAAACAAAAAACGTATATGGTAAATTCTTGTCCTAAAATAAATTAGCTGGTTGTTTTAAAAGAGGGATGTTTACAAATCAGAAAGTTGAGGCATGTCAGAGATTGTCTGTGTAAATCATGAAAATTTTATAAAAGGGAATTTATATTCAAGAAATGTAAAATTTAGAAGTGATTAGGCGGCCTGGCGTGGGGGCTCATGCCTGTAATCCTAGCACTTTGGGAAGCCAAGGCGGGTAGATCACCTGAGATCAGGAGTTCAAGACCAGCCTGACCAACATGGTGAAACCCTGTCTTTCCTGAAAATATAAAAAATTAGCTGGGTGTGGTGGCAGGTGCCTGTAATCCCAGCTACTCGGGAGGCTGAGGCAGGAGAATTGCTTGAACCAGGGAGGCGGAGGTTGCAGTGAGCCGAGATAGTGCCATTGCGCTCCAGCCTGGGCGACAGAGCAAGACTCTGTCTCAAAAAAAAAAAAAAAAAGTGACTAGGCCTCCTGAATGTTTTATAAAATGCCACTATAACTCTTAGCTGTACATCTTGCCTGCTTTGCAGCTAGGTAAGACCTAGGACATGTGGTTAAATGCTGGAATCAGTCAGATCTTATCCCCACTTCTGTCAGGCGTCCCCAGGTGCCTTTTCTTGAGGACGAGCTCCTACTATGTATAGCTGGTCTCTTTCCTGTCCCACAGCCTCCTTTCTGGAAACTGTTTTGGGTGAGCTCTAAGCCCTGAGAGTGATGCCAGCTCCTTCCTCACAGAGGCAAATTCCAATGGCTTGTGGCATTGGATTTTAGAAGGGATTCCTCTAAGGCAGGCATCCCCAAACTTTTTAGACAGGGGGCGAGTTCACTGTCCCTCAGACCGTTGGAGGGCCGCCACATACTGTGCTCCTCTCACTGACCACCAATGAAAGAGGTGCCCCTTCCTGAAGTGTGGCGGGGGGGCCGGATAAATGGCCTCGGGGGGCCGCCTGCGGCCTGCGGGCCGTAGTTTGGGGACGCCTGGTCTAGGTGCTAGGCTCTACATCTAGTACATAATTCAAATCTCAAAATTACTAACTAAAGTAAAAGTCACTAAAAGTTAACAGTGTAACATGTATTGTTCCATAGAAAGAATTTAAGATAAGACGTTGTAAAACTGAACCTAACCTTGGAATTGTTTCCCTTGAGGTTACAAGATAACTTGGGGTTCCCAGCCTGCCAGAAAGCGACATTCTTTACTTACCACAGATCAGAAACCCTGTACAGGGACTGTGTACAGAAAATATGAGGCCAGGTGCCAATGGCTTTCTTGGCTTCATAAGTCAAGTTTGATTCCTTAAAGGAAAGCACACTATTCCAGTCAAGGCCATGGTAAAATAACTGGTTTTCCGAACTGTGTCCTGTTACAAAAGAAAACAGATTCTTATTGTGCATATACAAATAACTGTATTTCCAACAGTATCCAAATTTTAGTAAAAATCAGGGAAAGAGAAATAGTATGCTCCAAATTTTGTTTCTGGGAGTATACTAAATTGTTAAAACCTGCCAATAGCTCAATAGAAAACTTCCTTTGACTTTGAAAAGTAAAACAAAGGATTAGCAATATTTTGAGCAAAATGTGCAAAAGATCACTCGAGCCTCCTATTACTTCAGTTCATGCAGTTAATTCCTGTCCTGCTTGATATTAATGGACATTTTTTTTTTTTTTTGAGACAGTCTTGCTCTGTTGCCAGGCACTAGGTTGGAATACAGTGGTGCAATCTCGGCTCACTGCAACCTCTGCCTCCCAGGTTCAAGTAATTCTCTTGCCTCAGCCTCCTGAGTAGCTGGGACTACAGGCTGAACACCACCATGCCCAGCTAATTTTTGTATTTTGGTAGAGACAGGGTTTCACCATGTTGGCCAGGATGGTCTCGATCTCTTGACCTTATGATCTGCCCAAGTGATCGACCTCCCAAAGTGCTGGGATTACAGGTGTGAGCCACCGAACCTGGCCATTAAAGGACATTTTAACTCTCAAGAGTCCTGAATATTTTTCCTCTATTCTGATGTCACGATCTCCAAAGTCATCAGAAACCCGCATTCAAGAGCACCTGTTAGAGCTTTATAGCTGATTATAAAACCACTTTCTGAAGAGGACCTAAACAAGACAACAATTGTTTATGGATGACAAAAAGTTTTAGAATAGCCATAGTTAAAGACACAAGTGACAAGAAAATCTGTTACCTCTGTGGCACACAATAATTTTAACGTAACAATTATAATTAGTACAGATAATGTACACTAAGACATATCAGAATTATAGGAGTCTCCCATAACTTTGGAACATGTATCAATAACATATTTATACAAACATAGCCCCAAGGAAAGCCAAACACTATTTTATGAAAATGCTTCCTTATACCAAATAAGCCAAATTTTTCCTTTATATTAGTGTGTTATTAATGTTAAACTCAATTTTTAACAAAAACCTTGTAGACACATTTACCCAAATTTAATGTTCTTATAGATTCTTGTAGACCTTTTTTAACCCTTTATAGTTTTTGCTAAAGAGCAGGTTAGTGTTTTAAGAAAAACCCATTGTGCTTTGATTTTAATGCTCAATTTACAGAAAAATTGAATGACACACCTTTAAGTTTAGCCAATATGTTTATACACAGAATTTCCTTTATAATTAATCTTCTCAAACTTGCTTAAACTTTCATTTTTATTTTATTCAACTTAAAACAATTCTTTAACCTTTTAATCTAGGCAAAATCCACATTCTCTCGCCTCCTTATAATCTTTTAACCAAAAGTACATGTAAATTGTTTTTTCAATAGTCTTGAATATATGTTACACTGTTAACTTCTTTTTTTGTTTCTTTTTCTGGGACGGAGTCTCGCTCTGTTGCACAGGTTGGAGTGCAGTGGCGTGATCTCGGCTCACTGCAACCTCCGCCTCCTTGGTTCAAGCGATTCTCCTGCCTCAGCCTCTTGAGTAGCTGGGATGACAGGTATGTGCTGCCACGCCAGGCTAACTTTTGTATTTTTAGTAGAGACAGGGGTTCACCATGTTGGCCAGGCTGGCCTCAAACTCCTGACTTCAGTTGATCTACCCGCCTTGACCTCCCAAAGTGCTGGGATTACAGGCGTGAGTGCCCGGTCTAACTTTTTTTTTCTTTTACAAGGCCTATGTAACAAATAATTATCTGGTCTAGCTTTTTTTTTTTTTTTTAAAGGCCTATGTAACAAATAATTATTCTTGGCATGGTGGCTCACGCCTGTACTCCTAACACTTTGGGAGGTCAAGGCGGGTAGATCAACTGGTCAGGAGTTGGGGACCAGCCTGGCCAACATGGCAAACCCCTGTTTCTACTAAAAATACAAAATTAGCTGAGTGTGGGGGCAGGTGCTTGTAATCTCAGCTACTCAGGAGGCTGAGGCAGGAGAATTGCTTGAAGCCTGGAGGAGGAGGTT